ATAAGTAATATTGGAGCAACTAGGAAGCATATCCATGTAAAAGGGTTACCGTTACCCGTCAAATGAGAAACCAACATAGAACTAGTTCTTCAACAAACCTGGGCATTAGCTTCACTAACTTTTTTTGGGAATCCTTTCACTGATCCTGAGTCAATTGATCGAAAAATCTGGAAAAACATGAAAAATGGCAATTAAAAGATGATATGATTTAGAAAAAAGAAAATTAATGGAAAAAAAAAAAGCTGATGAGATCAAACAAACAACTTAATCAATTAATCAGGAATTTGCATGACACAACCTGAACATGCCAGTTTTCAGGATCATCTTCATCTGAAACATGAACCATAGGATCATCCTTAGGAACTTGTGTAACACCGTCCTTCCAGGACATTTGTGGGCTTCGAATCCATGAGATACGCCCTATCTGGATCAAAGAATCATCTTGCCATTGAGATTTCTTTTTAAAACGCAGAGTGAACTCTTTCCATCTGGTTGACCTCCTCCAGCGCTGCTCAAAATTTATAAGGACATCATATGCAGCAGGCCCATCTATTCGGCAGTGCAAGTCATGCCATGGTTGCCTTGGAGCCTTGGTTCCAGGCTAACTTGTGCAAAAGGAAAAAAAAATTTCCGGCATTAAAATTATTGGTGTGAGAAGAAAATTAGGAAATATAAAACCAAAACACATCATATACACACACTAATCTCTAGTCAAAAAGATAAGAAAAATCATCAAAAGGAGAAATTCTTCTTAAGCAAACATAAGAAGCTAGTTAAAGAACTTAAGATGTCACTCATGAAATTTGAATTGCCTAAAGAAATATATCAAATAGGAGACAGAACCAAAACTCGTCAAAAACACTAATCTCTAGTACGAAAAATGAGCAAATTCATCAAAAATAATCATGTTAGAAGGTAGCTAGTCCATGAATTCTGTTCCTGATTAAGAACATAGCTAATGAAAAGTCTAAACAAAGAAAAACTAATTTCACACGAAACAGGCAATAAGAGAAGATAAAGTAGTAACTTGAGAGATAAAATTGGGTATTCACTCACTGGAAATGTGGGATTGTGAAAATCATCTTTGAATATTGTGTCAAGATCACGAAAGAGCCTATGCTCAGGAGTGTCATAGCGTCCGTCACACAAATCAATACCTCCTATAAATGCAGTTACCTTTCGATTGTTACCAGAAGCCTGTGTGTCAACAAGAACACATTTTTGATGGTGTGTAAAAAGGGTCCCAACAACCTGAACAAAACAATTAGGTGAGCAACTTCAGTAAGTTGTTAAACCTAGAGAAAGTAGAACTTGTAAAAGCAAGTAGCAAAGTATATTCTACAGAAGTAATCAGATGTCATCTAACACGAAATGACAAGAACATGTCATATAATGGTCAGCCATAGAGAGACCAAATTGAAGCTAACAACCAAAAAAAAAAAGAAAGAAAATCAACACAGATGATCATGCAAATATGTAATACGATATGTTATATCATAAGCACATTCTTCTGAATTACCAATAATGGGTACGTCAATTTTTGTCTCAGAAAAAATTGTATACATCGATTTACAAGCTAGTCTCTTTTAACAACAAGGTTGCTATGAAGCAATGCGCCATCCTCAATGCAATTAAGAAGCACTCGTACGTAAGTCATAACTAAGTTGATCAGTTATAGAAAAGAATGCACAAAACAAACAATGCTTGCCTGTTGTTTCAAAAAGCCAAGCTTACTACTAGCGTAGCGCGGTGCCAGTACACAAATGACGGAAGAATGCTTGAAGAACTTCTTTGTTTCTTCATCATGCGTTTGCATCACACCTGCCTGCACCAAATCCCGCCATTTCACTGTTCACTACATAACTTGAAACTACTTACAAAAACTCATACAGCTGGCATACAACACTTAAAAGGGCAATCATGAACAAACTTCTAGGTAACTTGAAAAAATATTCAAATTTCCAATTGGAGAAAACTACTTCTTTTGTAATAGAATAAATAGCTTCATGCTCCCTGACTCTTAAGTATTGAGTACGATACTCCTCTTGTTTGGGTGACAAAAAGAGGAAATCAGGACTTATTTAGCCTGACTTCCTGAGAGTCAGTAAGATACTTGTATAAATAGCAAAAGAGTCGCAATTGTAAGAAAAGTTCACAATCCCTTAGTTAAAGCAAACAAGAATTAGACAGTTGAATACAAAAATCAAAAGAAAAAGGCGGCATTACTTAATTACTCAAAATGGCAGAAATTCATAACGAATTTAAATGGCAGGGCTGCATATGTAATCCTCACCGTACTAATCCCAAGCTTATCGTGCGAGGTCTTATCATCCCAGACCAACAACAAGACCCTCACTCCCTCCTGGGATTTGTACTTGAGCAATTCACCGAGGGTCAAGTCGCCTCCTCGCGGCAAAGGCCTAGAGGGCTCCCTAACAAGCTTCACCTTGTGAAAAACTGACCAGCCGACGACGTATATCATATGGTGAGCTTCTGATATGGCATAGCAAATATCCTCCCAACATTTCTGTTGCTTGTAAACTTTCCTTCCGTCCAATTGAATCTCGGGTAACATTCCGTCAGGTACATGAGCGTCCTGGTACAATGTCACTTGACTCCCCTTCCTCAGCGGGAAGTACGTGTGCCTGACCCCTTGCTGCTCGGGATCACAGGCAATCCCGCGGCGGTATACCGGATTCTTATCGAAGGGTATGAATTTCATCTCGAGGAAGATAGAGGCATCCGGCTTGGGCGGCTTGCCGGTGGAGTCGAGAAGCGGGAACCAACCGGAGATGAACTCGCCGTTAACAAGGTTCTGAGCGGAGAACTTAGCCGAGCCGATGAGCTCGGCGCCGAAAAGGTCATCATCCTTAACCTGGAACTCGAACTCGCGGACGGGATGCGCTACTGGGATAATGAAGTGCTCGTTCCAGTGAGGGTCTTGGGAGTTCTTAATGACACGCGTCCGCGCGAGAGTGGCTTGTGGCACGACGATGGTTACGTAGGGGTCGCTGGTGATGATCTTGGGATGACGATGACCATCCCGCTCCCTCTCCCCATCGGAATCAACCGGTTGTGAAGGGACTTTGCAAGCATTACATACGGAGAAGCAGAGTCGCAGCTTCTCGGACAGCAGATCCATGTTGGGTAACCTCTTCGCTTTGACGATTTTGACGTCCAAGTCACCGTGAAGGTAAATAAGATCGTCCGACGCCATTGTTTATTTTCCACCGTTAAATGAGAGTTACAGGTAGATAGCAAGAGAGATAGATTACTGGAATAAAGCGCAATGGGGAAACGAGGAGGAGAGAAGAAGGCAGGTATGATACGTGGAAGTCGAAGAGTGGGTTGGCGTATGTGTTGTGATGTTACTTTGCTTGTTGCAGTCTTGCAGGTAGTTCAGATATAGAGAAGAGGTGAGTTGTCTGGTTTAGAGAAACGATGATATCGATAAAATGTGTGAAGAGATAATAATGACATCAAGGTGTAGAAAATGGAGCACGGAGGAGTGGGGACTGAAGAAAAATGGATCAACAGCTACCCTTTGGGGATGTTGATTGGGTAATTTTGAAATACAACAATTACACCATTTCATTCCAGAAAACCATCTCTCTCTCTCTCTCTCTCTCTCTCTCTCTTCTCGGCTCAAATGGTTTTCTCAAGAGGGAAAAAATTAAACCGGTTATGGAGAGAAGTGAATCTGCTTTCTTGTTTCTTTTTGCGGGGATTCTTTCAAGGCTTTTAATTCCCTTTTAAATTTTCACTTACTGATACGAAAAATAAACTTCAAAAGTTAGATTTTTCAGGATATCTAAGTATTAAATTATTGACATTATTTCATTTGAATTCTTTGGTTCGAAGTAAACTAACAAAGACAATTATACTCTCCAGATTAAACCGAACAGACAAATATTCCTACGGCCACCGCGTTCGTGATTAAAATTTGGATGTCTAATATAATCATTTCAGTCTCATTGAAGGAACAAAAACTTTACCAGTAAAAATAATAAAAAATAAAAAAAATAAAAAAGATAGGATGGTAAGTTGTTCTCAACATTGATTTCATTCGTTCGTTTGACATCAAATCCAACTCTGAATGTTTCTCTCTTGCTGGTAGCGAGATTCATGAATCAATCGAACGTTGGGATTCCATGTCAATTAAATTATTGCGCGTGAAATGAACTGGGTTTTCTCAGCTACACAATCAAACGATACGCATGCTTTAATTTCTCATTGAATGGAGAGCGTTACCCCTCATCCCATCTTTTTATTGTTTTCTCATATCTTATTGCCATTAATATTCCTACTGTAAAATATTTATGCACACGGTGGCCACACTATAATCATTGAATAATTTTTCACTCCAATTTTATTCAATGTTTTTGGATGAAATACAATTTCAAAAAATAAAAGTAGAAAAGAATAAGTGGACGATACGCAATCGTTTTGACATTTTATAACAATCTCTATCCTCAATAACCTTTATGCACGAGGAACTCCCTTTCCAGAACACAAAGAGGGGACCCTGCACCAACTGGCAGAGAATTTAGAAGCATCACAGCGTGAATTGAATTCGAAATAATACGATGGCCACGTTACTGATTTTTAATTAGAATAATAAAATTTTAATGAAGGATCCGACATGACAGCGATTACCTTCTCATCTCTAAACCAAACAAGGGGAAGCCACCCTTTGCCTTCCCATCACAACATCTACAATCAGATTCTTCTTCTTGAGATGACGAAACTGGTGGTCGTCCCGGTGTTTGTAGGTTAAATATTAAAACATTTAAACCGTCAGTCCTTGGTTAGTTACAATCCCACGAAGGCCAGCCATTTGAAATTTTCTGGATATATCAATTGTTACAAATATGTATACGTCCAATCAAGTAAAACGACTATTTGCGTCCAGAAAGCAAACTTCAATCCACGTGGATGTCTCATCTATTTTAACAACCTCCTCCGTATTAAACAATAACAGTAACATTAAACTTAAAATGGAGGCCCGGGGAGGGGGTGGAGGAGACTCCCTGACATCCCGACCTTCTGGTCATCTTTTTGGCTTCATCTCCTTCACGTCTGGCATTTAATTAAAAACCAAATCAGTAGGGCCAACTTTGTGGAAAATTACCAATCCCCGAATGTAGTGTTCTCCTTCCTCTCACCCGTTCCCAAAAGAGCATTTGGATACAATTCCAAGAAAACTTTACCTTTTCTTTCACATATCCTCTCACATTCATGCCATGTTTCTCTAGCGATTATTCCTATCATCCTTACTGCTCCTATTCTCCTTTGTATTCTTATCATCTTTATTCGTCGTCTGTGGAGTGTACTGACTCGTAGACGATGGTGAGTAACCAGGGGCACTTGGTGAGTACCCAGCACTTGGACTGTTTCAAAATTAAACATAATTACAACCAAACCGATCCAATCTCAGAATTGAAACAGGGGTTGGGTCTAAATCTACTTACCTGTACGGTGGGGAACTTGGGCTGTAATCCGGACTTGCTCCAGAATTATATGGGCTGCACAAGAAGTACAATCAGAAGTTACAAAACATTCACTGAGAGAGAAAAGAGCAAATATTTTAAATTTCCATACCAAGACTAACCTCTTGGTTATTTGGCAAAATTATACTAAAAACCATGTACAGCCAACGTAAAAAGCAAGATTTTCAGAAATTTACTGCTAGGACTGTATGTTGGGCTTGAAGGTGAGTAAGACGGAGAAGTAGGTGAGTATGATGGTGATGTTGGGCTGCAAAAAAAGCAAAAACTTAAAAAATCAGAGGACAAGAAGAGAAAATAATTATGCAACTATTACATGCAAATGCTTACATCAGTAAAAACATTACATGCCACCATTTAGAACCATCACTTACCTGTAATTTGGTGATGTAGGACTATATGGACTAGAAGGTGACAACCTTGGACTACTAGGTGAGTATGCAAGTGAAGGACTGTATTTGGCTGACTGTGGATTGTAACTTGGAGAAGTAGGACCGTAGCTTGGTGATGTCGGGCTGTAGCTTGGTGAGGTTGGGCTATAGCCAGGGGATGTTGGGCTATACGCTGGGGAGGTAGGGCTGTATGATGGAGATGTTGGGCTGTAGGATGGTGATGTTGGGCTGTATGAAGGGGAAGTTGGGCTGTAAGAAGGGGATGTAGGGCTGTAAGATGGTGAGGTGGGGCTATAGGCCGGTGAAGTGGGGCTATAAGCGCTATAAACTGGCGAAGTTGGACTATAGCTTGGGGAAGTCGGGCTATAGCTTGGAGAGGTGGGGCTGTAACTAGGAGAGGTGGGGCTGTAGCTTGGGGAGGTGGGACTGTAGCTCGGAGAAGTGGGGCTGTAGCTAGGCGACGTGGGTGAATAGGATGGACTTGTAGGAGAATATGCAGGACTCGTAGGACTATAGCCAGGAGAACTAGGGCTGTAAGTTGGTGAAGTAGGGCTATATCCAGGTGAGGTAGGACTATATCCAGGCGATGTAGGACTGTATCCCGGTGATGTAGGACTATATCCAGGCGATGATGGACTATATCCTGGAGATGAAGGACTGTAGCCTGGAGATGAAGTAGGAGAAAATGCCATCCCACCAACATAAGGAGAAAACTGAGCATCTGTAATAGGTGAGAGACGCAAACTCGGACTCAATAAGTAACTAGGTGACATCATGCCGTCATGGTAAGGAGTTCCTGACACAGGAGATCGGCCAGGAGTGGTGCCAAAATCTAAACCATCCATATAACTAGGAAGCTGAAGTTCAATTGCATTTT